AACTTAAGGCTCAATAAATTTCTCAGTAAATCTGCAAACTTCTCTGATGTGTTGTAAATTCCTCTCGGGTTACCCTGAAGATTTGAAAATTTCGTTGAAGATTACCTCAAGTTGTCAAAATTTATCTGAAAATATTTGAGCTTCTTTGAAGTTTTAAATGTCTCTCTCAAGATCTAAAAATTTTCCTGAAATCGTGTAAATATTTTTTTTTAAACCGCCGAACTTCCCTGAAGTTCTACAATTTTTACTGAAGAGCCATTAACATTTCTGAGATTCTTGTGATTTTTTTCAGAAATCCTGTAATTTTTTTCAAAGTTCTGTAACTTTGTTCTGAAGATATACGAACTTTTCTGATGTTGAATAATGTTTCGAGGATCTCCAAACTTCTGTGAAATACTTTATATTTCACTGTAGATTCTTGGACTTGTCTGAAGTTATGCAAATTTCCCTGAAGATTTGCAAAATTTCGCTTATAGTTTTACAAATTGATTTGAAATTATTTTTGCTTGCTTGAAGTTTTGAAAATTTCTTTGAACATTTATCTGAAGATCTACGACCTCTCTTGTGATGTTGTTTTTTATGAATTTCTGTTAATTACTTTTAATTTGTTTGTAGTTCTGTTCTCAAGATCTACGAACTACCCTGTTTCCTTTTTACGACGATTTTGATCCTCCACATACAAATCAGCGAAGAGCGAGCGTGACAAGACTCTCTGAATGAACTTGTCTTGTTCGCACACGTTGTCTTAGATGTCAGATGCTTGTCAAATCCAGTGTCCTTAAGAAACGTTTCGAGAAACTGAACGAAAAACTTCTTTTGAATTACGAATGGAGTGATAATTGGAAAATTCCCTGAGTGGAACCAAAATTCCCTGAATATTCCAGGTTTTTCCAGAAAAAAAAAATTCCCTGTAAATTCCCGGTTTTCCAGGTTTTTTCAGGTAGTAGACACCCTGTGGATTTCATAAGCGCGACTTATGAAAGATTTTTGGCTAACATAACGTAGCTCTTATACGCCTTTAGCCATTCCATTTTCTTAAACGGTGAAAGATGAGTGGTTAACACACGAGCTCCGTAATCTCAACGTCCATGGTTCGGTTGCAGTCTGGAAATCAATGAAATTCATACTAATTTCTTGTGGCATAATTGCATAAGTGTTTCTTATGGAATTCTTACGTTCTTTTGTTTGTTTGTAAAAATACCCATCATGGCAACCCGGTATTTCTTAAATGTTTTGGTTTGAAATCGCAAGGGTAAATCGGTCTAGCGGCATTTCGGATTTAAATCTATAAGTGACCGAGAAGTGAATTGCTGGTCTGAGTTCCTCTGGTATATTTAATTTGAGGATGGTCCTGAATATACAGCGAAGCGTTCCAAGTGAATTTCTGAAATAATTCCATGATAGTTCCGGGAGAATACGAGCGAATTATGAGGAGAACTGCAATCGAATTTTCATGTGAAATCTCCGTTGATTATGTAATGGTCTATTCTGAGGTCTTCAGAACAACCTAAAAGTTCCCAAAATATTCCTGAAGTTAATGAAACTGCCTTGAAGTTCTATTTCAGTTTGAGATACTAACCTGATGCTCGCAATTCTTCTCACATAAATCTCAATAACTTCAGGAAATTCGCTGCGACTTACAAGGAGTTCCTTAGAATTTTGGGATATTCAGAGAATTTTCCCAAAATTCTAAGGAACTCCTTGTAAGTCGCAGCGAATTTCCTGAAGTTAATGAGATTTTTCTGATGTTATCTGATCGTCCTCGAAGTACTCGGAATTTCACTGAATATAATAAAACAATCTAAAACTATCTGAATTTCTAAGAAGTTCTCTGAAATTTCTTGAAAATATCGGTGCATGCAATACTTGCTGGAACTTCGTTGATGTTCTCTAATCAACTTAGCTAAATTTTCAAAATTGTATAGATCTTGAAATTTCCATGATATAAAACCCTTGAAATACTCTCACATTTTCCGGATATTCATATAATTTGTATTGCGGTCCAGAAATTTTCTCTGAGCAAAACTGAAGTTTCCGGAAATTCCCAGAAATTTTCATTTAAGGTTTCTAAAATTTCCTTGAATTTTTTTTTAATTAACCACTTCATTCGAGCAGATAAAATGACGTTTACTACCACTCGAACTTTGAAACATAACATTATTTTGATATTTTTTCTTCTAGAACCTCGAGAAAAGTAGCCAAATTAGAGCGTTTCATAAAAAAGAGAAATTAGTTGGTCCAGTTTTGTGAAATCACTGGTAGAAAGTCACACCAAAACTGCTTGACAAAGTGGTCAATTGGGTTCTTTAATTCTTAAAAAATATATCGGTTTTTATATATCATCTGAAAGAGCTTCGTTTTCTGAGCACAGTGATATTTTTTTCGAACCCACACACTTTCATCTTGATTTTTAAATCAAGATTTAAAGCAAAATAATAACTTCACTGTTTGACACTAAACAGACAAACTGACAGCTCGCTCCCATACAAAGTGACACGTAGGAGCGCTAATAAGGTGATTTTTGCAAATGTAATCGTTCTTATTTAAAATAGTTCCAGTGTACCAAAATTGATGAAATTTTGGGTTTGGGTTCCATTTACGAATATGCATTTACCTAATACCCTTAAAGAACCCAATTGCCCTTTAATTCTATCTATATCTGTTTGATGTTCTTGGAGCTTCCTTAAAGCTCTCAATTCTAATGAAGATCTCGGTTCTGCTTTAAAATAAATGGAATTCTCGTAAACACCTGGATTTTCGTTAAGTTCCTGAAATATTTATGAAGTTTTCATAAATTTTCTGAAGGTTCTCTGTACTTATTTATTTCAGCACATCATGGAATTACCCTGAATTTGTCTAAACTCCCGCTTATAGATTTTCAAACCAATCTAAACTACGCAAGATTAAGAAAGACTAAGTGTGGGTTGTACTTAATAGGCCGGAGGTCTTAAGTTAACTTAAACTATGCATAGAGATAAGTTAGTGAACCAGAACCTGGACTAACACTTGCGTCTACCCGGAGGAGGCCCCGGATACGACCACCCATGTGACTCTAGAGTATCGCACGAGCTGACGAGTGCAACAGGAAGGGCATTATGTATATAGCAAATATATTATATTAACAATATGATCCATTCATGCCTTTTCCAAACATTGCAATGACGACCCGAAACATATTGCTTCACACACCATCTAGCGTTGAAAAAGGTCAGCAAGAATCATACAATTACATCGAGGGCGTGAATATAGCACTTATTACAAAAATAAAATTTAAATTAATTTAATTAATTACGTTTCGTATATTATATGAAAATTTGTCGGACGTGTCACTGTTGTCGTCAAATAAAATAATATGCGGAAATACATACATTTGAAATATTATGCAAATTTTCAATTGGTTTACCCCTTGGGAAGATAAATAAATACAGTGGTAGCCTTTTTGGCCACATAGGCGCTTTCATCGCTAAAAATTCGGTTCGCCAGCTAAGCGAAAGAGTGGATCACATTGTTAATATAATATATTTGTATATAGTCTAGGGGGTTTGTCCCTAGATACGCCGACTTAGCGGAACGCACGGTTTATGCACTGAACAATTATTATTACAACTACAAGAAGCAAGACAGTTATGAATTGAATTCCCATATAGTTCTTAGAATAATTTCATGGGAGTTATGGAAAGGACATCAAGGAGAATTCCTAGGTGATTCTGAGTAAAATTTTATGGGCATCGTGAGGAGAATAGCAAGTGATTTAAAAAAAATAACTGCAACAGAAATGTGGGGAAAATTCATTAACAGAATTTAAAGGGTGCTCTGAGGATAATTTCTAGGAGAATTCCTGAGAAGAGTTTTCTAGTCTAGTCTACAATTACTAGGAGTCCCGAGAAGTTTTGAAAAATATTTACAGGGTAGACCTAAATAAGTGACGCATGAATTAAGGATCGAATCTCCCATGGAAATATAAATTATTTTAATGGTTCTCTTCTACTCTCTTTATTACATTTTATAGGTTAAATGTACATATTTACATTTCGATTCTATCGCCTTTTGCTTTAATTAGTCGCTTCGGAAAGGCATTACAAGCGGCACGCAGTTGATTTTCGGGAATTTCATCCCATATCTTTTGTATAGTAGCCTTGAATTGTTCTATACCCATTGATTTGAGATCCCGAAAATGTGCTTCCATGATTCCCCAAATAGATAAGGTTTGCATCTGGCGAAGAAGCTGACCAGAATTCATTAGGAATAAAATCTCGCAAATTTGGTTACAGGACTGAAAACTTCGAACAACTCGAGTGAAACCAAATTATGCTGATGCCTATTGACAGCTCTTCCTGCTCGTCTATGATTAAGCTTGGTACATGCCGGAAGAGCAAAAATCGAAGATAATAAATTTAGCTGACAACCAGGATGACGTCGTCGACCCAGCAGCAGGCCTCGCACCCATTGGCCTTTAGCATTTGAAAGTCGCTCTACACGGCGACAGAAAACCGCCGACCAAGTCGAATGGAAGAGGATTCCCGTTCATCGAAGTTACAACTAGGTAACACGGTCTGTAATCCAGTAAGTATCAATTAGTACCACAGTTAACTGCACGAACATGACTTCAAGAGTAATTTGACTATAATAGATAATAATTATTTGCCTGAGATTTAAATAACCTGTTTTAGTCCAAATAGTTCTACAGAAGAAACCTTTTCAGAATTCCATAAAAAAAATCTGATCTTGATTTCTTAACATTAACATCATACAACACTCCTTATTGTTACTATTATTAAAGATAACTGCTAGCTAACCAGTTCTTAAGAGGCATTTTTTTTTCAATAAAAATTATCTTTTTACAAAGGAGTGAACAATTAGCGGAAAAAAAACTCATCCAAAAAGTACACCAAAGAACGTCAATTCTTCATAACGGTGCATTCTTATGCCCGCACTATCAGCTGTGCTGTAACACCGCACCCATCCCATCCGTAGAAAGAAAAAAAAATAAGTTCACTCACCTGAACGTCGGGTGTCACTTCCTTGAAGCGGATTGGCGGCATCGGGTAGTCGATGCGGTCAGCGTACACCGGCATACCGTTCCAGCCGTGGCCGACGACCTCGCGCTTGCCAATCTTCTGGAGAATCATATCGTGCGAGAAGCGAACGCCCATCTTCTGACGAAGGGCATTGCGGAGCACCACCGAAGCCAGGTTTACGTTGGCCATCTCGATCCGTGTTGGTTCTGTTGGAAAAAGAAAAGAAAATACCAAGATTAGATAACTTCCAGAGCCGGGTAGAATCATATGATCACACTTCTTATTTGCTTTGAAAGTCAGTGATTGGATGTAATGTCAAATACCAAGACGACTGCAAGCACAGCAGAAGTGGCTACTTTGCGCAGATAGGAAAATTTGTTATGTAATCGATAGGGAATTATTACACCAATTTTTCCGGTGATAATTACACCGAAGTTTCTGTTTTAACTGGTTCAAAACTATAGCAAACGATTCTTAGGCGATAGCATTTACAAAGAGAACTGAGAATTATAAAACTAAGGTGAATAAATTTTGCAAATTCTAACCCTAAACTTGCGACAGATTCTGTATACAACACTTCTTACACAACTCATTTGATAAACTCCAAAGAACATAATGTAAGTAAATAACATAATAGAGACACCTTCGATATCAGCTGCAAAATGTTAACAATAAACAAATTTATAATTTCCAAAACCACCGAAAGAAAACTTTTTAGAAGCACTCACCTTCGCAGAATTTGTGACCGAATTGAAAATGTTGAAAGAAAAATCACCACTACTTGCGAGCTACAGTCCCAGCCAAACGCACAGAACACGGCTTGCGTCAAATATTTTCACACGCGCTCGATCTGTCATCGAAATGTCACACGTGCTCAGAGTTGCCAGAATTAATTTTCGAAAATCGAAATTATCCGTTCACAGAAAACTGAGTTTATCGGTATTTAGATTTATTTACCAAAATTAACTGGCGGAGATCGAAGATCCTGAATAACATATTTGCGGCAGTGCATAGATGTTAGGGCCGGTTTAATACAAGCTATGCAAAACGGGTTGATCAGGACTGTATCTATGTTTATGAAATTGATTGATTGCATGTTGCTATTTTTATACCCCGTTCACATTAACGTGAATATGATACTACCATAGAGGTAACTCTAAGACTAGAAGGTCCCGAAGAAACGTGCTCAACTTTTTGGCTCAGCTCTGGTACTCTCTTCGGTCCCAAGCTAATCGATTTCACCCCTCGAAACATAGGAAAAACCAATAACCCCTCATTTTATCTGTCAAACTTTCATAGCGAATCAAAACAAACATTGTATAGTACTAGAATTTTGACTAGAATGGGGTGCGTTAATCGTTGCTTGGGACCAATAGGCTAGTCAAGTAGTGAGCCAATTTAAAATCGTTAGTTTCGTATTGAGCTCGTTTCTTTGGGACCTTCTGGTCTTAGAGTTACCTCTATGGTAGTGCTAACGGTGATTAAAATTATCGATCCGTAATTAATGAAATTAAAAGAATTGAAAATGTAATTAATGTACTTTAATTACGAAATTTCAACTGCTATTAATGAAGTTCAAAAGAAGTTAATGTGTAATGTGATTAAAGCAGTAGTAAATGGAATAGCCTGCGTTGGAGTTAAAGGTTATTGCGTGCCCCTAGCGTGTAGTAAAAACCCTAATAAAATGTTTATGGTTATTTTGCTTAATGACGTGTTCAGAATATCCAAACCATTTGTGAAATAGTTCCAACATATGGGTTATCGTTCGTTTATGGTATTTTTTATTAGGTTAGCCAACAAATGGACAACCAAAGTATTTACACTGATTTTAAGCATTTAACGCTTTATTCCAAAGCCTTAAGTCAGCCTTGAGATAATGTGAAAAACCATAGTGAAGAAAAGTGATCTGAACATAATATCGGTATTATCGGCATGAAAAACAAAAAAATCGGTATTGTTGTTGTCCTCAATTATGTTTCGGTGTGTAGCAGTAGTTCTGGCAACGCTGCGCGTGCTTAGAAAATTATCGATCACATTAGTGACATCTATTAGAGAGCATTAACATCATATAATGTATTGCTAGCGAAGACAAACACTTTTCGAAGCCAATTTATTAATCGATTAGCGAGGGTGGTATGCACTAGCGTACACTCAAAAGATTTTCAAATCTAAATAGATTAAAAGTTACGCTAAATCGCAACTCTCTAGACCGACGCGTAGCTTGTTATAAAGTGAGAGAATACACACACAGTATTAAATTGGCATTAAGTGCATGTTGTATTCTAATTATGCATACCTTCCATTTATTTACGTTTGGATTTTGTTGTTGCTATTGGCAAATCAAAGTTGGCACTCGTGGAAAATAGAAGAACAATGGGGTGATGATGGTATCAAAATTTTACATGGTAAGGTATACGAGTGCAATCTAAAAATGCTTTTATTTTGCAAATGGAGCAATTTATTTAAATCTGGTTGATGTTACGTTAGTAGAAAACTTAAGGACTACTCAATAGACATATGATATGGAAAAAATAATTTATTTCAGCTGTTTAGGTGTATACATAGATTTCATCTTTTCTACCACTGTAGCAGCAACCAGATTTAAATAAAATGCTCCATTTGCAAAATAAAAGCATTTTAAGATTGCACTCGTATACCTTACCGTGTAAAATTTTGAAACCATCATCACTTTCAAAGTTCTTCTATTCTCCACGAGTGCCAACTTTGATTTGCCAATCATTTTCATTTGTTTTATTTTTCTTTAACTTTTAAGTGAAAGCCAGGCGTTCTGGTCCAGGTGGCTAAAATAAATCTGCAACCCGTGAAAACTTTAACTTCAGTTTTAGTTGACTTGACAATCGGGTAACGGTTTCGAGCCAATTTGCTGTCAAATCAGAGCCAGTTTCTGATTGGTTGATTTGACAGTAGCAATCGTGGAATAAAAAGGACAGACCCAACAAACAATTGCCTATTGGCAAATCAAAGTTGGCACTCGTGGAGAATAGAAGAACTATGAGAGTGATGATGGTTTCAAAATTTTACACGGTGAGGTATACGAGTGCAATCTTTAAATGCTTTTATTTTGCAAATGGAATATTTTATTTAAATCTGGTTGATGCTATGCTTGTAGAAAACTTAAGGACTACTTAATAGACATATAATATAGAAAAAATAATTTCTTTTCAGATTTGTATGTGTAGACATAGATTTCAGCTTTTCTACAACTGTAGCAGCAACCAGATTTAAATAAAATGCTCCATTTGCAAAATAAAAGCATTTTAAGATTGCACTCGCATACCTCCCCGTGGAATATTTTGAAACCATCATCACTCTCATAGTTCTTCTATTCTCCACGAGTACCAACTTTGATTTGCCAATTGAAGAAACGACTTTTTGACGATTTTATTCAACTGCATGCTTAATAATACTTGTACTATTTTTAATAATAACTTCTGTTCAGTCTTTGTTCACACAAATCTTGTGAATTTATTCTACCACACAACATTGAAATAAGGAGTTGAATAAGGTATGTCGAGAATCTTTTTTCGACTTGCAAGAGTTGTGTAACAGAGCTTATCGATCAAATTTATTCAGCGTCTATTAGACATAATTACAGCGATGGTAGACGCTTGATTCTCATGTGAAATAATGTTTAATTACAATGCACTTCGGTTATCAGTAATTTTTACCGATATCTAGGTATTCTTAACCGACTTTAAGGTATCGGTATTTTTTTACCGATAAAAATCGTTACTTTTTACTTTAAATAGGCTATTTTTTACTATAAATTAGCTAATTTTCAACGTTAATTATTGGTAATCCATGATTACCGATAATTTAGGTATGTGCGCTTTGTTAGATTATCGGAAATTTTAACCCATATTTAGGTATTCTTTACCGACTTTGTCTTAGCGTCAAGTCCCGTCCCGGACCAGGAGCGCAGACTCGTTTGGGGCTGATTTGCCGTTAAAGTGACGTCACACATATGAACACAGAAGAACACAATGTCATGAGCACTTTAGCTAGGGAGAGAGAAATCGCACACACATAGGAGAGAGGAACGAACATACACAAGTAAATAGAAAGCGATAAAGATTAACATGTAAATAAATCTACGTAGATTAAGAAATGTTGAAACACACGTTATTCCCTAAATAAACCTTCTGAATAGTTCGTAACAATAAATGTTTTCTTAATACAACCAACTTCCTAGCTTTAATTAATTGAATGTATTCGACATCGCTGCGCGTTCTCCGTTGTAGTTTCGTGTCCCGCCCTAATAAACAAATACCATAAACGAACTGTACCCCGGATGGGTAAACTATCTCACAAATGGTTTGGATGATACCCTGAACACGTCGTTAAGCTCTCTTTTATGGTTGTTTTTATTTGGGCGGCCTCATGTTGAGAGCACAGAGAACAGACGTTGAGGCTCGAACAAAATTTCTCTAAAAACTTGTGTAAAGATTCCCATTTGACTTAAGCACCACTAACGGCGACTTCCTCACTTAAAACCACTCTTTAACAACATGATGGCGCTGGTTTTGCAAAAATTACACTAGACACTAAGTGCTGGTAGCGCCATGTGGCAATTTTCAACAAATAATTTATCGATACTAGCGCCACTTGGTCGAAAGTGATAAATTTATAGAGGAAATCAGGAGATGCTAGCGCTACGTAATGGCGACGTTTCCACTTAACTTTACACAAGTTTCTGACCGAACTTGGACGTCTGTTCTCTGTGTTGAGAGTTTGAATGATGGGTAGAGTAGTCCACTTCCAGATCGGGGCGACATCTAGTGGCAAGTGACGAGACTGGCGATGATGATAAAATTTGTTTTTCTCAAAAGCAGGCTTCCGGAAATCTCACGCGTTCACAAATGTGACAGCGAGCTGTGAGACGGAGCGTCGCATGACTCTCAAATCCATGGTGTGCTACATTAATTGTACAAAAGAGAGACCAGAACGATGCGCGCGACAAGCTACACGCTCTCAACATTTTTTTTTTTTTTTATTAACTTTATTTGTACAGGCTCAATCGAATAAACTTTACAGAGCCGAGTTATCCTTTGCGTTATACATTATTGCTGTCTTAAATTTAAAGTTAAAGGAACTGGACCGAGTACTCGCGGTTTTCTCAAGTTTAGTGGAGATTTACAATTTTTTGGATGGGAAAAGGGAAAAAGGAGGTTTGAAATGTGGTTTA